TCGAACTATTTTACTAAACGCAGAAACAGGTTGGGACATGATTACAGTTGCCGTATGGATATGAGGTGAAGGTGTGTGGCAACCTTTCACCGGTGATTTTAAATATGCAGTCTTGAGGGTACTGCTCCAAGGCAACCTCTCTCTCCCATCTACGGTGTGAATTAGTCGCACCGTAGAATAACCATACAAACCCTAGTAGAGGGCGTCGGTCTTAAACAACTACGCGGTCCCCCCGGGGTGGTAAGGGGGGACTTTAGAGACGTTAAACATCCACCCCAACCCCTTAGAAAGTCCGGCCCTGTTGCTGCGTGAGCAGCAATCCGGCTGGCCAGGTGTTTCTTCTCTGGGGCTGCCACACTCAGCGGCCAATCGAGTGGAGGTCGAGTGTGGCGGTCTTAGGGGCGGAGCGTCCCTGGCGTGCCGCTTCGCGGCCCGATCGGAATAAAGACCACTGGGGGAGTGGTTGATGGCCGGTTTGGTTGGCGGGGTGGTGCGTTGGGGAGGACCATATGAGCCTCAAGGCTCGGTGTTCGCTGATTTTCTTAAGTTAGTTAGTTAGTGACACAGTTCCACGTGTAATATTGGGATTTGAATGATTCTTGAAACTTGTCATTTATTTCAAACCACGGTGGAGCCCAAGAATAAAACAAAACCTAAAGAGCTGTTTATATGTTGACTTTCACACGTCTAAGAAGAGCTGTTTATATGTTGACTTCCACACGTCTAAGAAGAGCTGTTTATATGTTGACTTCCACGCGTCTAAGAAGAGCTGTTTATATGTTGACTTCCACACGTCTAAGAAGAGCTGTTTATATGTTGACTTCCACACGTCTAAGAAGAGCTGTTTATATGTTGACTTCCACACGTCTAAGAAGAGCTGTTTATATGTTGACTTCCACACGTCTAAGAAGAGAACATTTAAAAAAAAAAAAAAACCTTTACGTGCTACAAGGTGACCATTCTTGACTAAAACATTGTCACCAGTACAAATTGTGATACTAACCACTCGTATGTTTCTAGATTTATGGTTCTCGAGTTCTACACGGACTCGGACACCCGCGCCAAGATGGCCGCGTTCGGCGCCCACCCCTTCAACATGGACCTGGTGGACAGTCTCACCGTTCCCCTTTCAGCCAGACAGATCATGGGCCTCGTCGCGCAGGAATACACGAACAAGCCCCCGTCCTACTGGCCTACATTTGTGGTAAGACAGTGTATTTAACTTGACCGTGGATGTCAAACTGTGCCCATGGACACGTGTGAAGACATGAAGAATCATTTCGAAACACAAACTCAGAACATGAAATGTTTTGTGGGTTTTTTTTTTTTTTTTTTGTTAAAGGTAAATTTTATAAATAGGGATATTGGGTTATTTCCTCAATATTATGTCTAACTTTATTGCCACACTGGTGACAGGTTTTGTAGTCCTAGTAAAGGACGGGATACAGAACTCCAGGCCCACCAGCTTCAATGTGGAAAGCATTAAGGCATCGATATTTTTAAAACCAAACAATGTCCAATAGTAAAGCCAGGATAAACACTTCAGATTAGTCTCATTGGTGAAGTAATGATTTCACAAACAAAAAACAAAAAAAAAAAAAAAATAAAAACAGGTTTTGAAAACCTTGTTACTGTTGTATGAAATAAATAAAAACTTAAAGTTTTGTTTAACTTTGTATATTTTTAAAAACAAACAATGTCCAATAGTAAAGCCAGGATAAACACTTCAGATTAGTCTCATTGGTGAAGTAATGATTTCACAAAAAAAAAACAAAAAAAAAAAAAAAATAAAAACAGGTTTTGGAAACCTTGTTACTGTTGTATGAAATAACTATACACTTAAAGTTTTGTTTAACTTTGTATATAGTGTGCCCGAGTTGAATATAAACAAATACTAAGATCAAACACTTTCTCTGAATATATTTCATTGTCCAGACACTTAAAGTTATCGAGATGTATTATTAAAACCTAAGCATTGCAAAACTCTCCTTTTAGATTGGAAATCACGACCGGAAACGTGTAGCCAACAAATATGGCCGCCACACCGTCAACGCTTTTAATATGTTGCTCATGACGCTCAAAGGGACGCCCACCACATACTACGGGGAGGAGCTGGGAATGGAAGACATTGAAGTGACGTATAAGGAAACCCAGGATCCATGGGCCATCATTGCCGGTCCGGTGAGTGATTATAGAAAGAGACATTCAGTAACATACCTGTCAAGTTTTTAAAAAAGTTTAAGGAACATGATTTCAAAGTATTCTTAAATGTTACTTTTCAATTGAAGAATGCGAAAAATCTAAAGTTGAAAATTGAACTAATGACTGACATGACATCAATAAATTTGTCAATTCTAATGTGCCGTTCCCCGTGACAGGACCGCTACTTGCTCGTGTCAAGGGATGTGAACCGGTCACCCATGCAGTGGACGGCTGGCTACCAGGCAGGATTTACCACCGGCAACCACACGTGGCTACCAATTCAAGCAAACTACACTACTTACAATGTAGAGGTAAGACATGGATGGACTTTTGTTTAAAGCGTCCAAGTGGGCCACAACATAGAAACATGGTATCTCTAAATAAGGAGGTGCCTATATGCCATTTATGTGAGTTTAGCTGTTTATTTATGTCGCTATGTTAAAGACTTAACAAATTGAGTTAATGGATTCACAGCTACTGATCCAGTGCATGGCGTGGCTATGAGGTGCGCCCCCGGAAATGGCCAATATTTTTTTGCCACTCCCGTTCAACGAAAAAAAACAACTACATCTGTAGTTTGCTGAAAATGGCGCCTCTCCATATAAAAGGGACTGTACAAATTTAAGGCCAATCATTCAGTCTGTTCAATGCTGGGACCTGTGTTTAAACACAAAAATTAAGGATCAAATTGTTTCAAGAAACGACTGCACAGACTTAAATGTTTACCATGTGTTTAGCTTTCATTACGCTCACCGATGCCGGGCCTTTTTTTCCCCAACACCTAACGTAAGAATCAAAATATTTTAAATGCCTTCAGAAGTGATTCTCAAACGAGTTCACAATTTTCTACTTCACAGAGTGAGAAGACGGACCCCAAATCCCACTTGAACTTGTACAAGGAATACGCCAACCTGAGACAGCTGTCAGCCTTCAAGTATGGTGACATCAACGTCAACGTTGTCACTAACGACAACGTGCTGTCCTTCCTCAGATATTACGGGTGAGTAAGACTTAAGTTGTTTTCGATTTCTATGAGTGCTGTGCGTCTCCTTGTCACTGTATTCGTTCACCGTTATAGTGTACCTCGTCAGGCCGTTCGGACAGTTCTCTGTTGGTTTTCAATATTGCAGCTATCGTATTATGATGATTCTAAACTACAACGGTAGCTTAAGTATGAGGATTTTAAATTACAATTTCATCCACAGTATCTAAATTAATTCTTCTTAAAACTCCCCGATCCGCACACCTCATTTCTAAAATGTAGCATTGCATGTCTCCCGATGGCAGGTCCGAGCGCTACCTGGTGGCCATCAACTTTGGCCAGGCCTCGTCAACGGACAACTACACCCGAGATCCGGTCGGCGCCGCCACGGGAACGGTTGTCAGCGACACCGGCAACGTGGACGCCTCCATTGCCAAGAACAACAACGTCGACCTCAGTCAGCTGACCCTTGACCCGGGGAATGGTGTGGTCATAAGACTTCTATGATTGAAAAAAAAAATGATTTGTTAAAAAAAAAATTATTGTTGTTTGATAAATGTTCATCTTGGCAACTTCCTTGACATAAAGGTATAAAGGGTGGTTTTATAGACCACTGAAAATAAATAAGCCAACAATTTAGGGCGCTTGAATTGAAATGTTACACATTGACATTCACTTACAACGAATGAGCCAAAAAAAAACAATGCTCAACTATGAATACATTTTTCCCCGATCGAGAAAACCCATTTCAAACAACACAATTTCGAACATATTTTACTTTTCACTGGCGGCTGAAGGTATGCATCACTGACAAACCAAAAGTAAGCGTCCGAGAGGCGGTTGGGGGGGGGGGGGTTAAGTACTAAATATTTGGGCATATACTAAAATGTGGGACCACGATGGGGACAGAAACTGTGGTTAAATTATTTTTTTTTAAAAAGAGAATACTAAAGCAACTTGCGTTGACATTCAGGTCACAGTGTGTAGCTTTGATCTAAATTTTAGGGACCAAGTTTTGATACAAACATTTTTTTTTAGAGCTATTCATACTTGCGTTGACATTCAGGTCACAGTGTGTAGCTTTGATCTAAATTTTAGGGACCAAGTTTTGATACAAACATTTTTTTTTAGAGCTATTCATACTTGCGTTGCAGATGCAATTTTTTTTTTGGGGGGGGGGGGGCAGTTTTGAATTTGGAGTTCGATTTATTGGGTCACATTATCAGGCGTGGGGGGGCAGATTTGAATTTGGAGTTCGATTTATCTGGTCACATTATCAGGCGTGGGGAGAGGGTGTGGGAGGGGGGGGGGCTCAGATGTTAGTTAGAAATAGGATAGAATAAAAAAGAATTTGCATAGGGTTCACGCTACATAAAATACGTAAATGCTACACAGGTTGATTCGCTCGACATGCGTAACAGTACTACACACGTTGATTCGCTCGACATGCGTAACAGTACTACACACGTTGATTCGCTCGACATGCGTAACAGTACTACACACGTTGATAACACGTCGTGGGTGTTCTCAGAAACGCGCCACAGTCGTTAAATGTAAAATCCTCACGAATCTCAATGCTGATAACAGAATCAGTGGTGGATTCTGAAATGGGTGACACCTGTGCCGTACCCTCCAGCCCTTTTTTTGCTCACCCATTCATGAGTTTAAAAAAATATATATAAATTGATATGCAGATGAATGGCGTGAAAAATGCATTTCTGTACCACCCATTAATCTGTCCTTTTACTGGTTTCACCTCTGACTGGCTCAATATGATCAAGGCCTCAGATGAGGTAAGAACACGCCAAACAAATGTGCACACCAGTCCAGGCAGCACCGGACTGTAACTCAGGCCTGGTTTCTGGTAAATCAATATTCCTAGCCCACGTCATGGCTCTATTAGCCTCTGGAGTATTTCTCCTGCAGTTTGAATAAAGGTAATGTATCTCTAATCTTTAAGGTATCAATTTTAAATAAAGAGAATATGAAAATGTTTGGACATTCACAACAAGAACAACATCACAAAAATGATAATTTAAAAGTGGATTGCTTTGCCTATACTGCCCAGGGTTCCCCACTCGAAGCTTAAAAAAAAAAAAACAAGGTTCCTTTCAATGATAACGAGACGTTGGTACAGAAATTTTTTATAGAAGATATAGCTTTGCCTTTGATATTTTAGTGAAGGGAAATCATGTGAATAGCAAACGGACAACCCAGTCATTGACAATGCAGAGGGTGACATGTCTTTGTCTCTTAAAATAACAGGACAAAATGAATTTCTTCCTTAAAAAGTATCTGTTTCTAGTTATCTCGACAAAATAAAATCACGAGCTAAGACGTATTTTTTTTTTAAAAAGGATCAATCATTCGAAACCTTGAAACAGCTGTATGTTTGTCTAATTCGATACACGTCTTTCAGGTGTAACCTAAAATTGCGTCTATTGTATGATTTCATCTAGACTCATCTAGCCATTCCACTTCTTTTAAAGTGTCCCCTTTTTAAAAATAAAGTAGCAATTTAGATTTCGCAAAAATTTCATTTTAAACGTCATTTGCAGTTCAACACTATTTAATTAAATATAGGGCTGCACTGTAATAATAATAATAATAATAATAATAATAATAATAATAATAATAATAATAATAATAATAAAAAACATGGTTAAAAATTATTTTTAACAAAAAAAAAAATAATTGTCTAACACGAATGTAAGGATGTACGCCGGTTTGAAAAACCGAATCTGATGTCAAAATCTGCACAAAATTTACCTACGACACACATATTAATCAATCTTGGTCGTCACTAGGAATTCGGCTGATGTTTTATCTATTGGCTTTTAAGGTTCCCAACACACTGACAAGGCAGTGAGCTTTTTATTCCCACATGTATAAGTGCAAGCTTCTAACACGGGCTTAGACTAGCGTGTGTGGTAGTGAAGTGTTTGTGATTTAGCCACTCCACAACAAACCCAATTCTCAATCAACGATGTATAAGAAAGGCCATAAATAAAACTTAGAGTTAAAAATGAAAGAATACTTTATTCTCTTGTGTCAGATAATTAACATTAACGTGTCAATATATTTTTTATTGTAGATTAAAAATCTGGATTACTTCAATACAAATGGGTAACCACAATGCTTCACCAGCAACAAGAGCTGTACGAGAGCTCATAGCTGCACGAGAGAGCAGAGCCGTACCAGCGATCAGAGCTTTACGAGAGCTCATAGCTGCACGAGAGATCAGAGCTGTACCAGAGATCAGAGCTGTACCAGAGATCAGAGCTGTACCAGAGATCAGAGCTGTACCAGTACCACAGACCACCAATGTCACTCATTCACGAACTGGAGAGCTCGTCAGACATTTACTCCATTGCCAAGTATGTGGCCAGAGATACAATTTGGTGGACCGCAGGCCCTTGGTGCTGCCCTGCAGTCATGTCATCTGCCAAATGTGTATACGAGAACACTACACAACTGAGCAGTCAGACTGCCCCAACTGTTCTGAGCCTTTCAACGCAAGTCTGTCCATCCTACGCCTGGACCCGCACATTGTCAGGATGATAGAGTTTTTAAACAACCACCAGATGAATATATGCCATCAACATGACCATCAACTTCTGAACTTTTTCTGCAAAACCTGCTTCAGTCCGGTCTGCCCCGATTGCGTGATTTTAAGCCACAGGGAATCAGAAGGTCACGTGGTTATATCCATAGACATGGCGATCGAAGAGAATTTTACTCTCTTTGATGACATAGAAAATACAAAGACCGAGGCGCTGAGAGATTTCCAAGACGCGCTGCTAGGGTATGACGACTTGATGCAGACGTTGGCCACCGATGAGCCGAACAACGACCTACAAATACAGAACAAATTTGATGAGCTGCGTACACTGCTTGCACGGCGTGAGACAACTTTACGCTTGGAGCTGAGAAGGAAGAGCGAAGAGCAAAGGTCAGAGTTGCAGTCAGAACACGCCAAAGTTGAAAGTGATATTCAGGAGCTCTTGAGGCTTTTGGGGGATTTTAGAACTGCAAGACGCGAAGGCAATGTTCGGAATGTCTTCAGACTGCTCAAGGAACTTCAGAGCCAAGCTTTCGATGAAAGACTCAACGGCTGGGAGCCACAGTTTTTCCAACATTTCACAGCCCCCGAGTTTCAGCCTAGTAATGAAGAGAAGCTGGTAGATGCAATTAATGAGTTTGGAGAGATCAAGGTTTGCTGCGTGATTATTTAATATATATATATATATATATATATATATATATATATATATATATATATATATATATATATATAGATATATTATAACAAGAGGATGGTATATATAATTAATGAGTGTGTAGAGATATAGGTTTGCTGTGTGTTTATTTAATATATATATATATATATATATATATATATATATATATATATATATATATATATATATATTTATAGAGCTATGTTACAACAAAAACTGTCCCAAATATGCACTTACAATCGTCAGCAATAATAAGCTTTAAAGAAATAAACAATCCCTAAATACACAATTGTTCATATAAATCTTATGTATAAAATGCAATATCGAGCATTGGGGGTGGGGGTGTGTGGGGGGGGGTGAAAATTTGACAAAACATGCGTACAAGTAGCGCACTTTGCGTACAAGTAGCGCACTTTGCGTACAAGTAGCGCACTTTGCGTACAAGTAACGCACTTTGCATACAAGTAGCGCACTTTGCGTACAAGTAACGCACTTTGCGTACAAGTAACGCACTTTGCGTACAAGTAACGCACTTTGCGTACAAGGAGCGCACTTTGCGTACAAGTAACGCACTTTGCGTACAAGTAACGCACTTTGCGTACAAGTAACGCACTTTGCGTACAAGTAGCGCACTTTGCGTACAAGTAACGCACTTTGCGTACAAGTAACGCACTTTGTAAGAATACCAATTAGTGATCCCGCCCTCAAGGATCTGCAACAATTTTTTAATTTAAAAGAATGGTTAATGAATACTAGCATTACGTTTCAGACGTAAACTGACAGAGATTTGACTAATTTAGCGCTGGGGGCATGGCCGAGGCTTTTATTTTAAATTTCCAGCACAGCATAAGTGATGACCAAACAGGTAAAAGTAAAGCAAACTCGATTAACCGGTCAGATCCTACCTGTGACTTTTCCCCACACACCCTTTTTTTTTAAACGGTTTATATATTGAGTCCATTTACCTGTGTATTTTGATTATCATTATAATTTTTTGCTCACTTATCATTATAATTTTTGCTCACTTATCATTATAATTTTTGCTCACTTATCATTATAATTTTTGCTCACTTATCATTATAATTTTTGCTCACTTATCATTATAATTTTTTGCTCACTTATCATTATAATTTTTTGCTCACTTATCATTATAATTTTTGCTCACTTATCATTATAATTTTTGCTCACTTATCATTATAATTTTTGCTCACTTATCATTATAATTTTTGCTCACTTATCATTATAATTTTTTGCTCACTTATCATTATAATTTTTTGCTCACTTATCATTATAATTTTTGCTCACTTATCATTATAATTTTTTGCTCACTTATCATTATAATTTTTGCTCACTTATCATTATAATTTTTGCTCACTTATCATTATAATTTTTGCTCACTTATCATTATAATTTTTGCTCACTTATCATTATAAATTTTTGCTCACTTATCATTATAATTTTTGCTCACTTATCATTATAATTTTTTGCTCACAGTAGTATTATTTATTTATAATCATGCTTTAATTTATTTATATAACAGTTTTAAAATATTTATGTCGATTGACAATTTCTTCATCTGAGATCTCTATTATTATTTGTGTGCACTTTGCTTCATCTAATGAATTAAATAAACAACCCTTAAAAACAAAGTTTTTCCGTATAATTCCTTTCTTTGTTTTCTATTAAGTATTTCATATTTAATATTCTTATGTCCCAAGCACTTTTACACACCGCAGTTTTATTTCAGAAAAAACAAAGGGAAAATATTACGCACCAAACGCACTGGCGATATTTTTAGGAATCTTATTTAGCGCGGTTATCAGTAATCTTGTTTCAAGAAATCAGTGGCATCATATTTCCTTTATCCTCGCCTTGAAAAACAGGAAAAGTTGAAGTTGGGGGGGGGGGCTGGGGTGTGGAGATGAAAATTTGATAGAATGTATGCTCTTAGGTCTATGTGCCAAGCTTCGGCTCGATAGGTTGATGGGAAATGGGTCAATTAGCCGTCCGAAGATGTTTGCTACCCGCCAGGAAGAAACACAGGAACAAAAGCGAAGTTAATATGAATGATTAAAAAAAAACAAAAAAACTTGCATGCATGAAACAATACCAAACGCGGATCAGTGAATAAATATTCCTGTGTATGTATGTGCGTGCGTTTGTGTGTTTGTGTTTGTATGTGTTTGTGGGAATTGTGTTGTTTTAAAATATATTTTTAGGGGTGTTGTTGCTTTGTGCAAAAGAGAGGAAGATTTGCGGAATTAAAAAAAAAAATTAGAAGAGATTTTATCAACGGTATGGCTTTCTATAGTTGTACACTCATTCCGATTTCTATACAAATTTAAAACAAAATATTTACATGAATCAAAAATTCCAATTAACGTACACAATTTGGAAGTTGTACAATCACAAGTGACTATACGTTTGGGCAGACACGCACCAAAGTAGTCACTAACAGCAACACATCAAGGTCTTCTGTGTCAAACACTAAAAAAATTGTGAAACTGTAAACGAACTTAGTAATAAGTTTAAACAAAAAAAAAATGCTCCCCTATGGTGCTAAGTGGGTCCAAATATTATTCAAACTTAAAGACTTGTGGGTTTAGGAAAAGCGTAACTTAAACAATCTCGGGCAGTTTTGATTGCTAAATCATACTTCTGTAAGTATAAGAAGCAGGGGGGAAAAACACACACACCTGCCTCAGCAAAGTTTCTAGCCTGACGCTTGTAGTAGTTCAACTCTCCAACACTGCCTTTTTCGTCCAACTGGGTGTTTAAACGCGGTCATCAGTGTGGACGTCGCTCTCCAATCCAGTTATTAGTGGGTATCAATTTTAGTACTCACTTCTTACCTCACTTGTGACATTGGGGACGGTGCTGTCCCTTTGCTCTCCACCTTTACTCTCCCCATGGCCCATGGTCTCCAGTAAAGTGGTAATATAAGGCAACAGGTCTTCATTAGCCTAGTACTTGGCAATAATTTAAATCTCTTCGTTTTGGAGGTCTCAAAATTTCGTACACCTGCCCCAACTTCATGAGACGCAATAGAATTTCGTTTTTTTTCACGTGAGCGTTACTTTTTTCACCTGTACCGTAACCCTTAAGACATAATACGTAACTATTTTTGTTTCTTTATAATCTCTCTCTCTATCTCTCTATTTCTCTGTCTCTTTCTTCCTTTCTCTCTTATTTATCTCTCTCTCTCTCTCTCTTTCTCTCTCTACATCTCCCCATGTATATTTTTTCTCTCTAACTACGCATTAGTATACAGAGAGGAGGAAACTTAGACGTTAATCATCAATTGCCAAGTGGTTGCATTAACGCCAGTTATACAACAATTTCATATTGCCACAAGGGGCATGCATGGGGGGAATGGGCCTGCAGCTTCTACAAGCCGAGGACCGGGTATTAGGTCAGGTGTTATGTTATAAAAAAACCTGAGTTCTGCTGTGTTTAGAAAGTCTACATCTACCTCAGGCTAGCAATGTACATTTACAGATGACTTGGGGGGTGGGGGGGGAATTGAAGAACAAAATTCAGTTGTAGTTTTTTCTTTTCTCGTGCTTTTTCTGGGTGTTTTTTTTTTTTTTTTTTTTTTTTTTTTTTTTTTTTTTTTTTTTTTTTTTTTTTTTAAAAAAAAAAAAAAAGCAAAAGCAAAATAACAAGACAAAAAAACAAAAACAACATGAACTTCATATCATGTTCTTAAACATAAAAACTGACACGTTGGTTTAAAGGTCAGGTAAGATTTTTAAAAAAATTATGATGTTAGAGCAAGGATGTTAGTTTAAGAAATGAGATTCAAAGTCCACACCAAAATCGCATGATTTGGATGACAGTTTAAATGAACCAAGGGCAGTAGTAATAATAATTAATAATTTGATTTATCCAAGCGCCACAAGATGTTTAATCTCTATGGCTCAACGGTCGCACGATAACAGCTTCAACGCATGGGGGCCAGCTGTATGATATGTATGACTATGTCTGTATGATATGTATGACTATGTCAATGATCAACGGGCTGTCGCACACACTTGATATATAGGATCCGGAACGATCAGCACATTGATCGTGGGTTCTCAAAATGTAGAAGAAGATGGTATGAACGTGGCACAGTCGATTCGTTAAATGTAGTGTCCCCAAGAATCTCAGTGCTGATAACAGAAATCAGGGGCGGATTCAGAAATGGGTGACACACCTGATCTCGGAACTATACCCACATTCCCGAGTTTAAAAAAAAAAGATCTATACATTGAAATGCAGATGAAAGACGTGAAAAGCATGCATAACTTATTTTTACATTTTTTAATATTCTAGCTGTCATTTCTGTACCACCCATGAATCTGTCATTTTACTAGTTTCACCTCTGACTGACTCAGTGTAATCCAGGTCTCAGTTGAGGGAACAACACACCACACAAACGTACACACCAGTCCAGGCAGCACAGACTGTCACCAGGGCCTGGTTTCTGGTAAATCAATATTCTTAGCCCACGTCATGGTTCTGGTAGTCTTTGGAGTATTTCTCCTGCAGTTTGAATAAAGGTAATTCATATCTGTATCGTTAATGGTATCAATGTTTAATATGAGAATAGGAACATTGTTGACATTCACAACAGCAACATTTTTGTTTTGAATTTAAAAATAAATGTAAATGCTTTGCCTGAATTGTTTTGCTGTTTCTCGACCGCATACTGCACAGTGTTCCCCACTCAAAACTAAAAAAAAAAAAAAAACAAAAAAAAAAAAATTAAAAAAAAAAAAAAAAAAAAAAAAGATATGACTTTGCCTTACTGTCTTACAGGATATTTTAGTTACGGGACATCGTGCTCATTAAAACGGGGACTTAAAAGCCACCCAGTAATTGACGATGCAAAGGGTGAATATCTTTAAGGGTGAATGTCTTTAAGGGCGAACAAAGTATCTGTTTCTAGTTGTCTGGACAAAATCAAACAATGAGACAATTTTCTTTTTTTTTTAAATATTTATCAACCATTGTTTCAAGCTTTGGAATGGCTTCGTCTGTCTGATTCGATTCATGTATTTCAGTAATAACCTACAATTATGTCTATTGTTGTATGCGCATCATTTTATCAGCCAATTAATTTCATCTAAACTCATCTAGCCATTTCATTTCTTTGAATGTGTCCCTTTTCTTAAAAAAAAAAAATTAAAATATATAAATATATATATAAAAGTGAAAGTTTGTGGATTTGTTTGTTTGTTTGTTTGTGGGTTTGTCTGTTCCACAAAAGCTTTTACATGGATAATGGATCTTGACCAAACATGGCACATATAACCATCATTATCCAGAAGGAACTCTTAAGGGGTTATTAACTTTTTATAACATTCCGTTTGGGGCTCCGAATTCGTTTTTTTTTCCTTATATGAGCTATATAATTAAAATTAACAACAAATACTCCCACATGAGTAGATGGATCTTGACCAAACTTAGTACACATACACTTTATTATCCATATTCAAATACTGGAGGGTACTGAACTCATAATATCCATTCTTTTGGGGCCGTGGGCCCCAGTTCATTTTTCATTATATAAGCTATACAAATTTCAATATGTTTAATACTCCTACTTGAATGGATGGATCTTGACCAAACTTATTACACATACATATGATCATCCATAATCAAATACCGAAGGATATTGAACTCGTAATATCCATTTCTCTGGTGCCGGGGACCCCAGTTCATTTTTCCTTATATAAGCTATATGAATAGGGTTAGACAACGGTATAGGTTCTATGTGAATTTATGGATCTAAGCCTAACTTTGTTCATTACGCTTCTTAGTCCGTATTGAAATATCGGTGGATTTAAAACTAAGAATATCCAATCTAGAATTTTCCAGAAATTTCGATAATTATAAAAAGCTATATCTATGGCATTTTTAAACCGATTTTAATGGGACAAATTTCAATTTTAACTCTATTATTTATCCGTCTGATATTTAAAGGGTCTCTATCTCAGGCAAAGCTAAATCGGTACAGTTATGGAAAAGGCCCCCGGGGCCCCATGATTAACTTAAAAGAAAAATGATTATAATTATGGTATTTGTTGAATATTTTTATCCTATTCAAAAAATAATTAGAAAAGTAGTTTTACACATGTTTAGAGCAGGTTATTAAATTTAATCTAGAATGTTCCAGAAAGTTCTAAATTGTTCCAAACGGATATATAGTGGGATCTAAGGGAATTTTGAAATGTTTGTTAGTTCTATTTATTTCTATACTGTCCCGGAGTTTACTGTTCTCTCAGTAACACTGAGTAATTTTTTTTATACGGGATGCCATCATAATCTTTATCCCAACAACGAGATCAGGATCCCACCAGAAAACGGGATCCCACCTGGATCGGGATCCCAACCTTGAATGGATCCACCGGTATCGGGATAAAACCGGGAAACGGGACTGCGCCGGGATCGGTGTTAGAATGTGATTAGGGTTCCAATGGGATCGGGGTCACACAAGGGTGGGGGTCCTAAACAATCCCGCGCAACGCCGGGTATATTGGCTAGTATAGTATATATATAATAATTTCGATTTCCCAATAGTGCCATTTTATATTTCATTTGCAGTTCAGCACTATTTTAATATAGGGCTGTGTTGTATTAGTAATATTATTACTTATATTAATAACACAGTTACGATGAATTTTAAGAAATAATAGCTGTTTAAATCGAATGCAAGGATGCGCGCGGGTTTGAAAAACCGAATCTGATGTCAGGGTGGCCAAAGGGATTTTTATTTATTTTAGGGCTGTGTCTAAAGGGGCGGGGGCCCAGAAACCATTTTCTGAGGGCACCAAATCGCCATTTTAAATGCAAAATGTGTTTCAATATTTCATTTACTTAAAAATGCATACCTTTTGGTGAAGAGGGTGCCCGAATTCAGGCTTTCCCTGCTGGTCGCACCTTGCAATTGCCTTGTTTTTTTTTTTTTTTTCCCTACATTCCGTGCTCAGTTGTGACGTACAATTGTTTTTTGCTTTTATAATGACTAAATGATTGGGGTCAGGGTTTCTTTCCCGGATGGGTCATGCCATTGGCGTAGGAAAGATGATATCCCATAGGTGGCACAGTTTTCTTGATATAGTTATTTTCGTACAACTGCAGCTTTTATCGTGGTATAAAAAGGGGGGGGGGGGGCGCATTAAAGCTTTGTCCACCCAGGGTGTCACTAAACCTAGCTACGTCACTGGTTATTGAATCTAACAGCACCAAAATTAGACTTACTGGATAACGCGGCCAGTTTCTGCTCCACCATCTCTAAAACATAAACTTAATTCATTTTGGTTCCGGTAGCCATGAGTGGATATGCTTTGTCATGGCTATTGCTCTACTTAGTCCAATTATATTAAAATATACGAAATGAAACATACATATTATATTTGTCTGTTCAAAATAAATCATTTGAATTATTAACATTGTTTTTTTACATTATTTTTTGTCTTGTTTTTACATTCAAAAATGTGTTGACACTGTTCTTTTTTATCCGGGACAAAGGGGAATCGAGGGCACTGAATATTTTGGAATATACCTCAATTCAGTGGGGTTTTTTTTTGTTTTTTTTCAGACCAGTGATCCAGGGGACGGAGGTATTTCAGATGCGGAAGGGGCGTACAGCACGGAAATAAGATATCATGGCACCCGTTGTCATACATATTCTGAATTCACTCTCGTTTTGGCGCGCCCCCGGGATATTCTCGTGGCTCCTGCTTCTATCCTCCCCCCCCCCTTTTTTTTTTCGTACTGTCACATTGATCAGCGTGGCGGTGAGGGAAAGCAAAAATTGAGGGCATCGAAGGAATCCGAGCGAAAGTAGAGGGGGGGGGGTGGAAGGGGCTCATTAAAAGTTAAAGAAACACTACTTTGGGGTCAACCTGGCTGCATAAATTTACCCCAAGGATAAACATGTCAATCAATATGAGTCTGGTGACATTTCTTCCACTGACTTTTACTTTTGCAATACATTGACAAGGCAGTGAGCTTATTATTCATGCAGGTTAAAGTTCAAGATTTAAACACGGGTCCAGAGAAATGTATGTGATAGTTACGTGTATGCGATTTAACCACTCAACAACAGACTGACTGCCTCATTCAACGATATAAAAATAATTAGATTTAAAAATGAAAGAAAATTGTATCCAAGTGTAATCAGATAATAATAAATAAATTTATTTTCTTTATTCTAGATTAAATATCTGGATTGCGTCAATACAAAATGGGTAACAGCAGTGCTGTACCAGCAGCAGAGGCCCCCAATGTCCCTCATTTAAGAAGTGGAGAGCTCAACAGACATTCACTCCACTGCCGGGTATGTGACCAGAGATACAATTTGGTAGACCGCAGGCCCTTGGTGCTGCCCTGCAATCATGTCATCTGCCAGATGTGTATCAGACGAAATTTTACAACCGAGCAGTCAAACTGCCCCAGTTGTGCAGGGCCTTTCAACGCAAGTCTGTCCGTCCTACGCCTGGACCCGCACATTGTCAGGATGATAGAGTTTTTAAACAACCACCGGATCAATATATGCGATCAACATGACCACCAGCTTCTGAACTTTTTCTGCAAGACCTGCTTCAGGCCGGTCTGCCCCGATTGCGCGATTTTAAACCACAGGGATTCAGAAGGTCACGTGGTTGTATCCATAGACATGGCGATCGAGGAGAATTTTACTCTCTTTGATGACATAGAAAATACAAACACTGAGGCGCTGAGGAATTTCCAAGATACCCTGCTGAGGTATGACGGCTTGTTGCAGATGGTTGAAAATAACGAGCCGAATATTGAAATAAGGATAAGAAACAAATTTGATGAGCTGCGCACCCTTCTTGCGCAGCGTGAGGCCCGTTTACTTCTGGAACTCGGCACTATGAGAGGAGAAAAAAATGCATCGTTGAGGACTGAACGCACCAGGGTTGGAGCGGATATTTCAGAACTTTCGGAGCGCTTGAGGGATTTTAGAACCGCTAGACAGGAAGGAAACGTGCGGAATGTGTTCAGGGTGTTTCAGGAGCTGCAGGGCCAAGCTATCAATGACAGGCACAGAGACCTCGAGTCGCAGCTCGCGACACATTCCAGAGACGCGAACTTCAAACCTAAGAATGAAGATAAGTTGGTGGAAGCAATCGATGAGTTTGGAGAGATCGACCTCGCCTGTGTGATTAGTTAATATATTTCTTTAAAAGATTTATATCGAAAAAAAAAAACAACTGTTCCAAATAATCACACACAGTTCAGCAAAAATAACAAATTTGGAATAAAAAAAGCAGACACTGCTGTGATTCCATACAGAATAACTTTGCACAGACAGACGTGGCATGTATGGCTGTAGGATAAAATTATGCGTCATTAAATGATTATGCCATTAAAATACGCTCTGAAATCGTATTTCCCTTTATCTTTTCCATATACACGCCTTTCAAATTCGCTTCAATAATTAAGCAGTGCACAGAGGAACGTTCCAATGATCCAACGGTGCTCTAACGAATTTTTTAAACGTGACAGAGAATAGTATCATCAAGTGGACGTTTTCTCCTACTCTCTAATGCCTCCACTTGTTTCTCATACACTATGTCAACAATGGAGTGTGTGTTATTGATCTCATCACTCATTGGAAGAAATCGCTCCATGGGATCTAAGCAACACAAACGACTTGATTATTTAAACAACGGTTAAAAAAATATATAAATAAGCACGAGCGATGATATCTCCATCCCTATGGTTTTTTAAAACGCTTTTTTGTCCTCTTTGTTTTTAAATATACAATTTCTAAATCTATTATTTTCATATACTAAATTGTCTTGCTAGATCTGGCAATGCATCCCCTTTTTTTTTTTTTTAAAGCTCCCCAGGACTTGGGAAAACTAATCAATTTAACAAAAAAATAAAATAAAAATAAAGAAAATAAATAAAAATGAAAAAAAAGATAATTAATATATCTATTATTTTCATATACTAAATTGTCTTGCTAGATCTGGCAATGCATCCCCTTTTTTTTTTTTTTAAAGCTCCCCAGGACTTGGGAAAACTAATCAATTTAACAAAAAAATAAAATGAATATAAAGATAATTAATAAAAATGAATAGAAAGATAATTAATAAGATGAATTAGAAAGATAATGAATAAAGGGTAATGTTTAATTAAATTCATGTAGATTAATTGATCTGCAACAATTTCTTAAATTTAAAAAAAAAAAAAGTCAATGAATACTAGCTTTAAGTTTCAGCGGTTTACTTCCAGTTACTAAGAGAGATTTGACTAAATTGGCACGGGGGCCTCCTGGGCTGGGCCTCTGTTTCCCCACGCATTATTAGTGATGAACATGTCAAAGTCAAGCCCACCAGATTAACAGATCCTGCTAACCAGATTAACAGATCCTGCTAACCAGATCAACAGATCCTGCTAACCAGATCAACAGATCCTGCTAACCAGATCAACAGATCCTGCTAACCAGAGCAACAGATCCTGCTAACCAGATCAACAGATCCTGCTAACCAGATTAACTGATCCTGCTAACCAGATCAACAGATCCTGCTAACCAGATTAACAGATCCTGCTAACCAGATTAACAGATCCTGCTAACCAGATTAACAGATCCTGCTAACCAGATCAACAGATCCTGCTAACCAGATCAACAGATCCTGCTAACCAGATCAACAGATCCTGCTAACCAGATTAACATATCCTGCTAACCAGATCAACAGATCCTGCTAACCAGATTAACAGATCCTGCTAAACCAGAACAACAAATCCTAACTATGAATCATGTCCCACACTCCTTGATAGTTTTTCTTTTTCCTGTTTTGTTTAGTATGTTTGGATACGTTTACCCATTTTATTCCTTGTATTTTAAGTATTTACATCATGACTTTGGTCAGAGTATTATTATTATTATCATTATTACGATTTGATTTATTTATAATAAAAGTTTTTAAAATAATTTTGTTGGTTGACATTTTCTTCATCTTAGATCTCAATTATTTGTTTCACTGTTCTGCAATATTGATATATTTAAAAAAAAAAAATAATAATCAAAGTTTAATTTAGACTTTAACCTACATTTGAAACCACATTTCTCCAAGAATAAATCAGTGATTTAAGAATAAATCCGTCTTGATTTAAAATGAATGGCCTCATACTAACACCAGGAGCACTTTGTTTATACGATGATACTTGCACCAGTTGGACTTATATGATGATACACTAATCAGACTTTGTTTATACAATGATACTTGCACCAGTTGGACTTGGTTTATATGATGATACGTACACTAATAGTAATAGGACTTTGTTTATACAATGACACACCAGTAGGACTTTGTTTAAATGATGATACACCAGTAGGACTTTGTTTATATGACACACCAGTAGGACTTTGTTTATATGATGGTACTCCAGTAGGACTTTGTTTACCATGTATACAAATAAGTTACTTTGAGATTTTAAAATATAATGCCATACATTCATGTCCCATGAAATGGGTTCATTAAAAAGAACATGTCAGATTAAATTGTGTGCCTTTTTCTTCAAGATAAATAATATGACCACCGATTGACTATTAGACCACATTAATTACATCAAGTCCATAGGCAACTAGGTGAAGTTAGTATGAGACTAACTGTAGTCATGACAAATGCTGCAAGGAAAGCTGCTCTATTCTATTTATCCCAGACACTGATTTTCAAAAGGCTAAATTGAAATAAAATATATACTAACTCCACCGATGTTTTTGAAGAAGTCTTTGCTCTTTATTAGCATGTCATCAGTAGTTCAGCCAATATCTAAAACGGCGAAGGTTGTATGGCTTAAATCAGAAGTTGCATCCTGTAGGTTTGCATGAACCCGTTATTAAAATAAACAAAGCTTAGCAAATAAGGTTGTCGAATTATCTGAAAATGGAAACAGAAATAACCTGAACATGTTCCTACAGATTACCAGCTTTGGGAAATGGTTCCTGGAAATTTGGGATGCTACCTTGGGATCTTAGTACGGGCTTGGGTGATATTGTGTGCTTCCCTTCAGATTACAAAAAAATGAGGAAAAAAAACAACCAAACTACCACCTCCACAGTAAATTTTGACATTTTTTGGGTCTATATAATTATAGAATTTTAAGATTAAACTATGATACTTATACTTCTCTTAGTACCCTTAGTCACAAATCTTATGTTAGAATGTTGAAGATCACTAACACCGGCCAGGTTCAAATCTCCAAAATTTAATATTTAATAATCTTAGTTTCTGAAACTTGAGCTGGAAATTCAAAGATATGGTATGAATTCTTCACATTATTTGCCTATAAGACGACTTTGTCTTTTCATGCACACATGAATTGAGACATTACAAGAGTAGGATTGAGAAAAAACAACTCATGATAACATTTGACATGTTTATCAGTTGAGAAATACAACCCAGGATGACATTTGATATCAGTTAATATGATGGCAGGGCAAGTAATGATACAGTACATGTAACAAAGATTCAAGTTAACTAGTTACACTTTTATAGCCAATAAAATTCTTGCCTTTATATCCGGCCTGCACAACATAAGGCCTGCGGGCCGTATGCGGCCCGCCAGCACCACGCTTGGCAGTCCGCGAAGAAACGAAATATTCTTTATTATTATTTTTTTCTTAATAGCTTTCCCCCGTCCTATCATCTTTGGGCCTGCACAAGTTTTTCATAAAGTCTAAGGCCCACCTTACATTTTGAGTTGCGCAGGCCTGCTTTATATCATACAAGTTTACACTCACACAAAGAAAGGAGATATTTTACAGGTTAATTACATCAGCATGTGACATGAGCTACATCGACTTGTGACATGAGCTACAAATCAACATGTGACATGTGCTACATCAGGCCTATGATAAATACTAAAAACCTTTTAAAATTTAAATTTTTCTCCCACCACTTAACCCACAAACTGCCATCAGCCAATTTTCTCTTCCTGAACTGTGTCGGCCGATAAAAATTGCGTTGAAAGAAGAACTTCCAGTCCATTAATTTACTCTAAATAAAGCTACTTCATTTTATTAATAAATGAAGTTCCGCTTTTCGCTATTCCCTTTTTTTTTTAAACTTTGGAGTCACTTTTTTACAACGATCTTTATCAAGCAATTTTGTGCAATTAGATTTTTGCGCAATGGATGAGGTCAAGGCTGGACCATCTGGCTTACCAAATAAATCAGTATCAGTTTGGAATCTTTTTGATCATTTTTTAGTTAATGACACGAGTGATTCGAAAAATGATTTGCCGATCACACACGAAGACAATGATAATTCCGATTATTTATCTAGTGGGTCAGAAAGCAAATTCGGACTCAAGATGATTTAGACCTAGGCCTGGAGCGAGCAGGCATTGCCCAAACAACAGGACTCGTTCAAAACTATGATGCAGATGATTGTGTACCAACAAAAAATAATTGGATGTTCTATATATATTTTCTTATATTTCATTTTATGGATTAATATTTATATAGCAGCTTTTTAAAATTTATCTGTTTCTTGCTATTTAGTAATGATTATATTGTTTATGTCATGCTTTGTGACTTGAGCGTAATTATAGGTATCAGAAGAATTTTTTTAAAAAATCTATTAATAACTAAAAATCACATTTTTTAAAAGGCACCAAAAGAGCTCTGGATTGTCTGCACAGTACAGAATAATGACATGGACAGTTCATGGGTTCGGAAGAAAATACACAAATCCTCTTAGATAAGATATTATTGGAGGAAAAAAAAAACTGTCTGCTGAATACTCTATTTTACATACCACACTTAAATCTTAGAAAAACTAGAAGCAATTCACTAAAAAATTACAGAGAGTCAGAGAGATAAAATTAATTATTATTATTGAAATTAAAAAAATATATACTAGTATAATTTTCTGAAACTTATTGGTATATTTTTTGGAAGTCTATATTATTTTTAAAAATAGCATTCATTTTTTGTAAAGGCTCAGTATATGTTTTCAAACAATTTAACTCAAACAGCTGTAATATATCATACAAACTTATGTCATAATTTGAACTTTATTTTTTTATAAAAACTGATCCATTTTGCATTAGATTAAAAAAAACACCTTAAGCTAAAAATCTGAGAGGCCATTTTGAAAAAAAAAACATCTACATTTATACCTCATTTATCCTATTAAAATAAACACAAGTGAGGTAACATTTTTTTCATCTTCAAAATAATTTAATACGAACTTACTCTCCATACCAAAACTGTCTAAAATAATCAGGTAATCCATTCATCAAACTCCAAACAGCAATTAAGTATTTTTTTCAACTTTCCATTTTCTTCCTTTTCATTTTAGGACTCCCATTTTTTAAACTCCATGCCATCTGGTGGTTTGACCTCAACTTTCTTGGCGCCGACCTCATCCCAGTTGGTACTAAGCACGGTGCCCCCAGATTCGGACTGAAAGGGGGAAAATAAAAATTATCTTTAAACAAAAACTTATACTTAATCAAACTCTTATACATTCTGATACAAAAAATAATAATACATCTAACAGACATTAAAATATGAGTTAAGGAAAGTGACGATCAATAAATTATGTGAGCACTCAAACAGTTGTGAGGGAGTTGTAATAAGAAATTTGGCAGACAAAAAAAAAAAAACGGCCAGAACACATGCTCATGTAAGACTTAACCAGTCATAACCAATAGCTGATCCCCCAAAACAACAGTGTATCTTTTAGCAAATTGCACAAAATAATTCATAAGTAATGTAAAGTAAATAAAATATAAAAAAAAAAGAAAGAAAATGATTTCAATGTAATGTCCTCATAATGCACTTGGTTCAATGTACATAGTGAGGGGTTTTTAACAAGTAGTAGAGATAAGGTTGAAATTTAAAAGTTGTTATTTAAATGGTTGCAGATAAATTTTTAAAAATGTCAACGCATGCACTTAATGGCTTAACGTTGTTTGAATTTTTGTCTCTTAATCAAGGGGAAAAAAATTTGATGTCCATGGGGACAATAAATTCTAAGCACCACAGACGTTAAGGAAGGAATAATTATAAACATAGACAAGTGACTTACAAATGATTTCATCATGGCCTTCTTGGTTTCATCTGATGCATCTGCATAAATTTTTTGGAAAAACTGGTTAAGGGCAGCATCCCCCTCCAACTTTTCATCCTTCTCCTCCTCTGTCACCTCCTTGGCGATCTTGTCCCAGTCTCGTGTGTGATGAGACGACGATGGGTAGCGGGGCGGCTCCTCCTGGATGGGGGCTGCTGGTCAACCAGATGTGATCATATTATTACAATACAAAAGCTGAACTTTCCTTCCAGAGATTCACTCTTTGAGACCATATCTTTTATATTAACCAATGTGACAACAGCATTTCGTTATTTGTATAAAACCAGAGACAGAAAAAGATGACAAAAAGCTTGCGTCTATTGTAACACCACAAAGTGAGTAATTACTCTCATCTCCCCAAGT